CTGTCATGAGTAAATTATCATTTTCTGTAATAAGAGCACCTATTTGTTTACCTTTCGAAAAGTGTAAAAAAACACTGACGTACAGAAAGGCTTTGCGTCATATGAGGTAAGATCAGAGTTGAAAGGTCCTGCTCAGGATTCAGTTGTGCGTGTGGACTGTGTAGGACCCTGGGAGCTGCAGACCGGAAGACGGCGGCAGGTGACACAGAGGCATTCATTCAGTATCTACTAATTGAGTGCTCGCTGCCACTGGGCACAATGATAGAGGCTGGGGATAAATTGTGACTAAGACTCCAACCCTGCCTTCTCAGAATCTGTGTTCGCGTGGGGAGGGGTGCGCAGTGGATGGGCATAAACACTTACACAGACACAGCGATTATCAGGTGTAATAATCTCCATGATGCACACAACAGGTTGAGGGTGGGGGTCTTTTAGATGGGGATTCTAAGAAGGGCCTCTGGGAGGGCAGAAGCCTGAGTGCACTTTAGAAGGCTACAGCTGGCCTCTTTGCTGTGCCAAGGCCACACATGACTGGCCCTTACTGCCCTTGATAGCTAAATGTGTGCCATCTGCACCAAAGAATTAGAATGCTGCGGGCACCCTGAGGGGCCCGTGTAGTTGGTGACTGCCTGAACAGGAAAACACAGCACAGTTAATTTATTAGACGCATAGATTTTTTCCTTAGTCACTGAACACTTACCAGCACTGTGTTTATTCATTTCTTTAATGCAAAGATGGCGTCAAGGATACTTAACAGTAATACATGCAAGATTACTGTCCTTTAGCATGCCCTAAAACAGCGTGTTCACAACTGTGCAGAGGCCTCATCACATGGGTAAGAACAGCATCCGTAATGAAATGCGTTCTTCTATTACTGTACAATTGATAAGAAATAAACAGACTTTATAAATATTGGTTTCCTTTTCAAAATCTCTACATAAGACATTTAAAATATATTAAAGGAAGAACATGGTTATCAAGTAACATGACTTCTGTTAGGCTTTAAAAAAACAAAAAATAAGAAAGTTCATCAATGGATCATGTTTCTTAAATAAAAATACCTGAAAGCTATATGTAGACAAAGCAAATTCATATTTACAGCAGAAACACCAGACTTCAGTCTCTTTCAAGCAAATATAATTCACCCATCTATCCAACCACCACTCAATATTTATTGAGTCTACTAAGCTAATAGGTAAAACGTGCTGCAGCCAGAGTGGTGTATTAGGGTCCTGCGGGCTGGCCCCTTGGCTGGGGGAACCCTGCTAATGTTTCTTTCTCTGCATACTTACTGGGGCAATTTTCTGGAAGACATGTAAGTAGCCAAGGTGTGGTTAGATAGCCTCAAATAAAGAGCAATTTGAAATTATCCAGGCAATGCGATAACAACTGACTGACAGGGTGAATTCAGGAAAAATACAAAAAGGAACTCCTAAGAAAAGAAAAACTATTATACTACTAAGGAAGTTCAGTAAGGCGTCTGTTCACAATGTAAGAGATCACTGGTTTCCCTATACACCAGTTTAAGAACATGATGAAAAAGCATCTTATTCACGATAGCAAGAAAAGTAGAATATGTCTGAGTATAAACTTATCAAGAAGTATACAGGACCAGAATTAAGCAAAGTGTAAAATTTGAATGAGGAACATAAAAAAGTAGAGAAAATTATTACTCTTGATGACAAGTTTAAATGTTTGTTAGAATGTCAGATCTCTCTGAATTAATTTAAGATTTAAAAGGGGATCTGAAGGGATTGGACAAAATTATGCGAAAATCGAGTAGACTATACAAGACAAACAAGGATATTCAGAAATAGAAGACTAATGGGGGGGGGCAGTGTAGGGACTACTGGTCATTAAATGTATTCTAAGGCTATAGTTAAAATAGCTTGGTCCTGGTTTATGGATTAACCAAAGATATCAATGGAGCCAAATAAAATGTCTAGAAAGATACACATATACACAGAGTTGGTATATGGTAATAGTTGTGCTGGTGAAAATGTCTAGTCGTCCAGAGTTAAAATATCTTTTTCATAAATGCAATCTCATAATTCCAGATGGATTAAAGATAAAGCCATACTTTCAGTTAAAGATGTTACTATTCTGAACATATGTGTTTCATCTGTTTCCTCCTAAACTCCACCTAAAAGTGTGACTAAAATGGATTTTTTTTTAAAAAAAAGTTTAACCATCCACAAGAACAAAGAATGGGAGAGAAACTCTCCTTTCCAAAGTTTTGTTGCTGTACAGCAAATGAGCTAGTGGTGACGCAGACCTGGATTGTGAGCCTGGGGTCGGCAGGGAGCAGAGAAGTGGCCCATTTAACACAGTGGAACCCCCCAAGGTGCAGGCAGATGGCAGTGGGTGGAAAGGTGGGGTTAAAAACAGAACTGATTCAAAATCTGTTTAATCAGCAGTTATTCTCGCACACCCAGGTGGAAGCCGGCATTTCCTGTTCAGGAGAGGTCTTCTAGGTACAACTGAAAAAAGTTATAGTGCTAAAAACAGAGGAATTCAGTGGAAGACACACACTGAATGTGGGAAGAAGGTTAAGTCCCCAAACATGCACAGCCAGACAAATATTCTAGGCAGGACATTGGAGGATCCGATCAGTCCAAGGGAAAAGATACCAAAACCAGAGGCTCCCCAATGAATGGTTCATTCAACTTACCCTAGTAGACGTAAGACTGCAGTTGCGCAGCTGGCCATTCCACTGCTCATTCCAGAAAACATCTGATTGAATGGTTCAGTCTGCCCCGCAGATGGACTGTCCCTATTGAGAAGCCTGTGGCCCAGGCATTGTGGAGCCATGGCATGAAGTGGCCCTCCCCTTGACACACACATTGTAAATGGAGCTGAATCACCTAACAGCGTGACCATTCTCCCCCACCAGTGGCACACATTCCACCCTGGCCGTAGGTCTGGCCGGTGAAGTTTTGATGGTGTCAAAGACCAGCTACATACAGGTAGGCAGACAGGCTTTCAACCAGTTAAATACATTATCAGCTTGGGTGGATTAGTCCATTGCAGCTCCTATGCCCACCACCCATTACTGGTTCCATTTCCTCTCTCTCCATTCTCTCTTGAGCCCACTCAAATATGGCTTTCAATCCACCAAAACTGCTCCTGTCAAGGCCATCAGTGACCTCTGGGTTGCTAAATGCAATGGTCAATTCTCAGTCCTCACCTTACTTGACCTGCAAGCAGCACTGACCCGCCAGATGCCTCCCTGTTCCCTGAGGGCTTCATTTGCCCCTCAGGACCTGATGCGCTCCCAGCTTTTCTCCTCCATCACTGGCGCTTTGCTTTCCTCACTTGCTGCTTCTTCCTGAGCTCTTAACACTTTGGGTAGACCGAGCTGCAGTCCTTGGACCTCTTCCCTTTTCTACCTATATTCATTTTCTTAGTGATCCCATCCAATCTTATGGCTTTCTAATCTATTTACAGACAAATTCCAAATTTTATCTCCTCCAGCCACTCACAGATCCAACTGCATACTCAGTATCTCACTTAGCTGTCGAGTAGACATCTCAAACTCCCATTCCAAAACTAAACTTCTGCTCTTCCCCAGATCTGCTTTCTCACAGCCTCTCCATTTCAGGAAATGACACCACCATCCAAGTAGTTTTCAAACCAATAACCCTGATGCCATCCTTCAGTCCTCTCTTTCTCACCTACATCCAATCTGTCAGCAAATCTTTTGACTGTATCTTTCAAAACATACCCAGAATGTGATCACTTGTCACCATGACCACTGCTACTACCCTGGACAAGTTATTTAAGTCTTCTGTGTGTCTCCTTCCTCATCAATAATTTAGGAGTAATAATGGATGATAGCTTACAGGGTTAAAGGAAATTGTATATGTAAAGAACTTAGCACACTGCTGAGCAGTTAGTGCACAATAAATGTTAGCTTCTATTTCTGGCTTTTCTAGAAGGATTCAAGGACATCTGACTTGTAAAACTGAAGTCATCAGCTCCATTTCATAATACCTAAATTTTATTCTTCAACACATGCAATTTCCATTTTTAAGACTTCAATTAAATGAGTTGAAGAAAATAAAATTTGCTCAGGGCTTAGCTTCCAAAAAGAAGAAAAAGTGAAAAGTCATCTTTCCCAGTAAAACTGTCACAAATAAGTACCAAAGAGAGTGTTATATAGCACAATTGCAATTTGAAGCATTAGAATTCTTCTCATGCCTAAAGTAATTTTCAGCTAATCAGACAACTTGAGCCTAGGAAATATTTTTAATTCAAGGTTAAATGAGATAACATGCTATTGCACAGCTGTACACAGCACTAGTTTCACAACCTGAAAGAACTTTGGGGATATGAAAGAAGTCGTGGAATGTTTCTATAAAAGCTGGGATAACTGCCATCGCTTGTATAAAATGGCCTCATATTATTAACCTGTTGTTCCACTTATTCTGTTATCCCAACTAATTATTAATAGGTAAAAAGTTTCTGGAAAATCCATAACAGTATTATTTGAGTTGTCAACTTCAGGGTGTCTCCCAAAAACGTATACATACTTTAACAGCTGATAGCTCAATTTTGAAAATGAAGTGTATTTTAATAAACACTGCTTTTATAATTATTCAGAATGTGTGTATACATTTTTTGGGACACCCTATTGGAATAAATAATATGTATCTATATATATCATCTACCATATCTACCATGTGCTGGGTAATGAGAATTATTACAATGGTGAATTATTTTTATTACTTACCTCTTTGTAAAAATATTGTAATCCTTTTGTATAGCTCAAGAGCTAGGTAATAATGGCTTTGGATGTTTTAGGAGGGGAGAAATAACCTCAATATGAAATCATCAGTAGTTGTGCTTAATTTTTTAGCTTTTCTTTGTCCATATTTAATTATAATATTAAAGTCTGTGGTATTCCGATATAGTAAAAGTAAATTCCCATTGTGGGGTCATTTTAGCTAGTCTAGATATACTTTCCACGTTAATTTTTATTTATTTTTATTTTTTTGTAGGAAGTCCTGGCTGAGCAAGGTTGGAAGTCCTAGTTCTCGCATTGACCGCACGGACTTTTCCAATGAAAAAACCATCTCTAAACTTGAATATTCTAATTTTTCTATTCGATACTAATAGAAATTATAATGTTTAGACTGCATAGTAGACACTATAGGGTAATAGCAAAATAGGGTGAAAAAAGGAACTCTGTTCTGAAAACTACAACATTACGTATATTACTAAAAATGTTGGACACTGGAATAGTTTTACTCAACTAGGTTTTTAACAAGCAGAAATTAGTATCCTAAAATTTAAAATGTCATTACAAAATATTTAACATGAATATTTAATTTAAACCTGTCTCATGAAAACTAATTCTAATGAATGTTATATGTTATTTGGCTAGGCTAGACATAAATAAAGTTAACCATTTAAAAATTATTTTTATGTACTGTTGTCTGAATTAAATTCTACAACTTTCCAAATAATTTGTTATTAAAGTTGAGTAATTTTAATTATTCAAAAAGAACCAGTAAGTGGATATAAATGTATATGATGATCAGTATAACCGTAAAATAATATCAATAAAGAGTTAAATTTTTAAGTTCTGATGAAGTGAGAACATGATTCAGTACTTGGGCTGGCGCCCCCTAATGCGTTCCGTGAACCATATTGTTCCGTATAGTGAACAGATGAGTGATGGCAACTGACGAGAACCCAAGGTTTCAGGAGAGCAAGATCTGTATCAACAACCACCCCCGATGGATAGCCCTTACCCAGAAAAGGGCCGAGAGTCTAAATACATCATACTTTCCCCCAAACATGGCCTATCATTTGGGAATTTTCACATGTAAATGATTTTTAAGCAATAGTATTTTAAGGAGAAGTTTCATTTCTGTACCACAGAGTTACACTATTGAAAAAGGAAGACAAAATACTGGGGAATTTCAAATGTTGTGGGTATATACTTGCATATATTCTTCAATGACTTCCAAAATTTTAAAACAATGAAATCCATCATTAAAAAAATTTTTCCTAGAATTTAATACATAAGCAAAGTGAAAAGGCACACCAGCATGATTGAAATGGGGTGGGGTTCCCTGGAACCCTGCACACTTAGTCTCACTTTCCCTCCTGCATCTTGTCTTCCTTGGACAATTTCAAGCTCCTTGGGGATAAAGGTTGGAAACCACTCTTCTACCTATGGAAGAAATTTCCACTGCTACACTCCATGGCATGGAGCAAGAATTCAGGCCTCTCCTCTCCCTGCTGGAAGGTCAGAATTGAGAAAAGGAGATGAGGGCGGGCTGACTTTGTTCCCTTGAAAGGTTAACTCTCTGGATGATGATAATATTGATATCCAAGATATATATATAGGACAACACAACATTAGGGAATGACAAAGATATTGAGGAATAAAGAACTGTCCTGTTACTTTAATACCATCACCATGTTAAGTACTCCGTGTGTGGAATATTATACAGGAGAATGTATTGTGATACTCATTTGAGTTTTGCTCTTTGTATTTCCCAAAGGAAGGTAGACAAGTCTTGTGTTCCCTTACCTCATGGAGGGTTTTGGTGCCAGATCCTCAGAAGACAACTTTCCTTCCAAGTTTTCATTTTAAAGAGGGCGTTATGTTGTGAGTTGAGGAGAAAGACAAACATAGGCCTTTAGCAGGTAAAAGAGAAGCAGAAGTGACAAGAGCCAAAGGGACAAGAAGATGACCCAATACTTTGGAAAGAGACCAAAGGCTGTGGGTTTCCCAAGAGATGGAGACCTGTGCCTTTCTCCTCAGTGGCACCTCTGGGGGATGGTTAAACCTAAGGAGCACTTGTGGTACATCCAGAAAAGCTGGCTCCCAGCCACAGGGGCTGCTAGCCCTAGCAAGATTCCTGTCCCCAAAAGTGTTGCAATGTATCCTGATTACCAAGGACCACGGTGGGCTGAGCAGTAGTCATAGTAACTGGTATGGACTAGAGACCGAAGAAGGCTTTCCTGAATGTTCTCTGTGCCTAAGGACCTTTACCTGGTCCTTCTGAGAAAGGTGCACAGTACCAGCATGATAGATTTACCTTCCTGCCTCCCAGACAGGTGGGGCTTGAAGCAGGCTCGGCTTAATGTAGAGAAAATAAAATAGATATTTCTTGCACACTCAAGTTTGAAACAAATCTGTATGTCTTTATATATAAAAAGGCTAAGTGGTTTTTAAAAAATATGATCTCAGATGTGACACCAATATGTCACTTTTTATTACTGCCATCCTCTGACAGTTCCCTCCCCAGCTCACATTATAAGGAAATCACACTTTGCTGGCATAATCTTCTAACTGCACAAACTGAATCACATTAGTCAAGGCTGCTTAATGATTAATACATGACTAAGTTCTATTACTGGGTGAAAATGTTGTAAAAATGATTAAAATCAGGTGCTCATGAATGGGTAGAAAGCAAGAGAAGAAAAGTAAAGCACTTTTTAAAATGTGTTATAGAGGCCGGGTACGTTTTAACATTAAACCTGATATGTTAAATTTCATATGGAACCTCCACAAAGAAGTTTTAATTTACACATATTTTACATAATAACAAACTGTGATTCAGTTAGTTTTGTTAGAATTAGACATTTTAAAAAACAAAAAAATACTAAGCAAAAGGTGGGTATCTACTTCAGTTACTATCAACCAAGAGTCTCAACACTCCACATGCCCACACTCTTCTCTGGAAGCAACGTATCAGAGTTACAGGAGTATGATTTATGGAAGCATATTTATTATTTTTCATGTTTATATAAAAATGACTTTTTTTACTGACATGAAAACAGGCATGTAGGTTAGAAGAACAGAATAGAGAGTACAGAAATAAACCCATGCATATATATGTGGTCAATCTATAGCAAAGGAGGCAAGAATATACAATGGGGTAAAGACAGTCTCTTCAATAAATGGTACTGGGAAAACTGGAGAGAGACGTGAAAGAATGAAACTGGATCACTTTCTCATACTATATACAAGAATAAACTCAAAATGGATTAAAGATTTATATGTAAGACCTAAAACCATAAAACTCCTAGAAGAAAATATAGGCAATAAACTCTTTGACATTGCTCTTAGTAATTTTTTTTTATATGTCTCCCTGAGCAAGGGAAACAAAATAAAAAATAAATGGGACTACAGCAAACTAAGAACTTTTTGCACAGCAAAGGAAACCATCAACAAAACGAATCTACTGAATGAGAGAATATATTTGCCAATGATGCATCCAATAAAGGGTTAATATCCCAAATATATAAAGAACTCATACAACTTAACACCAAAAAAACACACAATCTACTTTAAAAAATGGGCGGTTGACCTGAGTAGAAATTTCTCCAAATAGGACATAAGGATGGCCAACAGACATGAAAAGATGCTCAACTAATCATAAGGGAAATACAAATTAAAACCACAATGAGCTATCACCTCACGCCTGAGTATCATCAATAAATCAACAAACAAGTGTTGGTGAGGATGTGTAGAAAAGGTAACCCTCATACACTGTTGGTGGAAATGTAAATGGGTGTAGCCACTATGGAAGACAGTGCGGAGGTTTCTCAAAAAGTTAGAACTAACATGACCCAGCAATTCCACTTCTGGGTATTTATTTTTTAAAAATCCAAAACACTAATTTGAAAGATATATGTACCCTTATGTTCACTGCAGCATTATTTACAATAGCCAAGATACAGAAGCAACCTAAGTGCTCATCAATAGACAATTAGATAAAGAAGATGTGGTACATTTATACAGTGGAATATTACTCTGCCATGAAAAAGAATGAAATCTTGCCATTTGTGACAACATGGATGGACCTAGAGAGTATTATGCTAAGTGAAATAAGTCAGACAGAGGAAGACAAATACCATAAGGTTTCACTTATATCTGGAATCTAAAAAAAAAAGCAAAATAAGTAGACAAAACAGAAACAAACTCATAGATACAGAGAACAAATTGATGGTTGTCATATGGGAGAGGGTTGGGAGGATGGGGGGAAAAGGTGAAGGGATTAAGAATACAAATTGTCAGTTGTAAAAACAGTCATGGAATGTAAACTGCAGCATACAGAATATAGTCAATAATATTATAATAACTATGTATGGTGTCAGATGGGTATTAGACTTACCGGGTCGATCACTTCATAGTTATATAAATGTTTAATCACTATGTTGTATACTTGACACTAACAGCATATTGTATGTTAACTGTAGTTGAAAGATTTTTTTTAATTAAAAAAATTTTTTTTTAATGAAAATTTTAAAAGCCTGTCTTTAAAAAACATGAATCAAGAAGTAAAGCTCAACAGAATTTTCTTGGCTGGAGGGAATATGCAATGACAGCCTCTACCACGTGGGGCAGATAGCAACGACAGGCGTGGGAGAGACGAGGCTTTTCCGTTAGAAAGGGCATGGGCTTCTAGGCTCTAGAAGCAGCGAGCCACATTCCACCCGAGGCTGGGCATCTCTGGGACACGCTGAGCCTGCACAACGCCTGTGCCTCCAAGGCAGGCGCCGGGTTAAGCAAGAGCAGAGAAGCACTGAAGGAGGAAACTAACAGCAGGGGGAGGGTGGGGAATAGTGAGTTTGACTTTGCTTGAAACTCGTCACCATTTTTACAACTAAATATTTTCAACATTGTCTACCGAAGCCATTTTTCAGAAACAGGTATCTCTATACTGAGAGTTGACAGAAAAACAGAATCTACTTCCAAAATTTAGCTTGTATTTGGATGTATATAGTCTGCAAAAATATTTCATACAGTAGCTCTCCCTGACCTCCATTAACATAGCATGTTCACTACTTGGTTAAAAGGAAAAGATCTTCATGTCTGGAACTAATTCAGGAACTAAAAATAGGCAGCATAGTATGGCAGAAAATATTCGGGGCTAGGGAATCAAAAGACCTGCATTCTGAGCCCAGACCACCCATTAATTTGCTGTGTGTTTAGGTGCCCTCAATTGCAAAGTCAAGAATCTGGATTAAATCAGGACTCTTGCAGGATTCCAGGAAGCCAGAGGCTCCCAGGGGGTGGTGCCAGGACAGCTGCAGAAGGGCCATGAGAAGGATGGGCAGTTGGGGGCCTTAATCCCTGCTCCAATCAGAGCAGCCCTACTCTCATCTCTGTCATATATTAGGAACCTCCAGAGGACATCTTTTGAGAAGAATTCTGCCTCAAAGAAACAAACAACAACAAAGACACTGAATCAGTGTCTGGAATCCTCTTTTCTAAATTTCTATAAATGCTAAGCTCAAATGTATTTCCCATTCTCTTGATTACTTCTCTCAAGCCAATGTGGTATGTCTACTTCACCTTCAACCATTTCCATTGAAACATGCATACTTTGTGAAAAGTATGACTGGAAATAGATTCTTATTGTTCATAGTGGTCTCTATAAGAATCTATGGTAGCTAAATATTTCTGAAATTGTTTTCCTTTTGTTTTTTGTTTCTATGTTTATGTTACCAAAATGAAAAATATGCAAGAGGAAATACAAATATATAATAAGTGACTTAATTTAAAAGTGTTTTATAAGCATATCTTGCAGACTGTAACCTAACATTTAGAATTATATGAAAGAAG